GGGGGGGGGATATCTTTACTACAGTTCATATTTAGACAGCTTTGACTGTTATTATCTTATCTGTGCTAATCCAGGGTCCTCCAGGCACCTCTGTGGCCATGAGCATTTTCACATAGGAAGAAGGTAAACTTATGATCTAACAGTTTTTGAAGAGAGGCAACAAAGATAGACATTATTTGTTAATGCAACAACGAGGAACCCCTAAATGATCTGAAATTACTGTTAAAAATGGTCATAAGTTACTATCTGTGCTAAGCACAAACAAAAATCTGTGTACATCCCTTTTGCAGTCTTTCAAATGTTTCTCCAATGTGGATATGCCAGTAGTTTAACAGATGGACAGATGCCTCACCTAGATAACCTGAACAACACCCTACACTTAGTTATCCCAACAACAAGTTTCAAATGTAACTAAGCACAATGTAAGAGCATAGGGCCACCCCCAGACGAAGAATTTGAAAGATGGAGCCAAAGAGGGCAAAGCTGAGACATGGCCAAGTGTGTGGATAAGTGAGGGGATAAAATGGGGGTGTGGTCAGGAAGAGGAAGAGAGACAGTGAATATTATATGGCTAAATAATCCAACTGCGGAAAAAAATATGTTTTTCAAACTGTATTCATTAATACCATAATAGGGGGAGTGGCAGCCTGGTGGTTAGGGCATAGAGCTTGAAATCCTGAGGTTCTGAGTTAAAGCCCCTCTCCCACAGATTGACACTCTGGCTCCATGAGCAAAGACCCTTAACCCCACACTGCTTCCTGGGCGCCGCACAATGGCAGCCCACTGTTCCCCATGGGAATGGGGAGCAGAGTGAAATGCAAAGAGTGAATTTTGTTGCTCTGTTCTTGTCACAATGTAATGACAATTACTGCCAAATATGATAAAATGTTATAAAGCTAAAAAACAAAAAACATTAACCAATAGGAAAATTAATCTACCACGTTTGTTGCCATGTTTTAACTTCTTCAGATACGACATTTGTATGCCAAGAATGGCAGAATTCAACAATTTCATACAAAATGTCAAGCGTTGTATAATAACATAAAGATTGTGCTAAATTTATACTGTTAGTCTTCAAATTTGGGGTTTCATACTCTTTAAGAAAGCATGTATTCTCACAATAAAATCTTAGCTGGCCAAGACTAAGAAAAAAAAAATCAAATGAGCATCTAATGAGACTTTGGTTTTAAGTATTTTTAAATAAACTGCTGGGAAGTTGAAGTTTATGTACCCCCAATAGATGAGCTACAGAAAGGTAGTCACATGATACGGAGAGATATTTACATAATGAAAAGTTTAAGATTTATGTCTTTAATATAAGTAACATTTTATTTTCTTTGCAGATGGGATTACTAAAGCAAATCTTCATTAGATGGAACAAAACATCCCTAACTACCAGTGGGTAAAGAACAAAGATTGATCCATTTCTGTGTCTCTAGTACATTCTTACAAAACTCCATTATAGCAAAGGGTTTGTAGTCAGATACTATGTATATTTTCTTTATTATTATTATGGTAGAGCTAACAAATAAGATATGCATCGGTGGAGACCCTGAAACTCTCACCAACTTCACTAAAAGTTTCATTTCTGTACACAAATCGCTCCCAAACTTCTAGTTCTTTGATCGTGTTTCTTTCATTGTGAGGATGGCTGCTACAATATCCACTAAGAGATCTAACACAAACGCTTTCACTTTAGACCTTTCGAGGTGCGGACAGCGCATCACAATATGATTACATGACTAAATTTAGAGCAGCTGGTCACAGGACAAGTGGAAAACGTAGTCCCTTTTCGCCACAGCTGGCCTTTCCACCAACAGGTTGAAAACAGTTTATTTCCCCCAACTGTGATTATCCACATTCCGATTTTACCTCACTTGGGCTATTTTAAGCCCTACGCAGCAAAGCATTGAACTATCTTCTGCATTTTACACAACAAAGCTCAATGAAAACCAATCAAAGTGGGCCATTAAAAATTTGTATTAAGACTGAAATGAAATTAAAACTTTTTTAAGTTGAGTTTAAATCATCAAGGGTGAGAAAACGCTGTATTTTTTCCGCTAAGATCTGGATTTCTTCCTGCTTCGAGCCTTATACTATTACTCGGATTATTTAGAAAGGTCATGCTTGGTTTGAAAATATTTTATTTGACCCCCTGAAGTCAAACGTGAATTAAAAAAATGTGAAGCCATGATTGAGTGTTTATACCAGCAATTAAAATAAACATACAATTTATTTTCCTTAGAACTGTATTTTTCTCCCTTTAATTCTAAAACAGAAAAAGTCAGCAATGACTAAACTAATGCTCAGTTTGCTTTCACTTACCAGTTTGTCTCCCTTCATCCTCCTCTTCATCAGAAAGTCTTCAGTGAACACTGAGAAGACAGGAGAAAGAAAGGAAAAAAGAAGAGAGAAGGAATGTTTTAATCACTCTGAAGGAAGCCAGCTATCTTCCCACTCACATTTCTGAGTATTCGCTTCACACAGACACACAACACAGCTAGAGAAACCTGCAACAGCCCTAAATGAATCACAGGAAGAGAGAAAAAAAACTTGGTTGGGGGTTATAGATTGAAAGAGTGACAGTAAGACAGAAAACTTAGATCCAGAATAGAAAAGAGGAATGAATAGAATGCAGAGAGGAGAGTGTGATGACAGGGGGAGGAGAGCGCAAAAAGAAAGAGTGGAGAGAGAAAAAAATGAAATACATGGCTTGGCTGAGTCATCTGTAACCACGACTTCCTTCACTGCTCTTAGAACTCTACTGATGACTGGCCAACTTCTAAAACAGGCACACACACACCAATCATCTCCCACTTTCAGCTTTATACTTCTTAACATGCTCTGTTTTCTTAAACTTTTCTTATGTGGCTCTACTTTAACATATACCTTTGTGAGAAGCATTAAATTTACATACATCCAACATAAAATGCTGCGTTTTAATTTCCCTGCTTGATGACTGTGTTATTTTTTATATACACAGAGTTGAACTTAGGGGGTAAGTCGATATACTTCAGAGGATTTTATGATACAAGGGTAAGGAATGCATTACGTCCTTCTATAGGATAATCATGCTGAAAGCCTGGGAAAATGGCTCATGAGCTGACCTCACTAAATGTCTCATGAGAAACTATCTGCAACTATTAAAAAAGTCGAGATTTTTTCCTTTCCCAGCATCCCCAGAGGCTTTGCTTTTTCCTTTAGGCACATTCACATGTTTGTATGATGTGTTGCAAAATATTGTAAAAGCACAAGACAAATGACAAAACAATGCTTCTGTGAGGATAAAATTCTTACTGTCTGAGGCTTACTTGGTCCCATTCTTACTGAGCAAAACAGTCACTGATAACTTAGGTGCTTCTTATTATACTAAATTGGTCCTCAACATTCTTTGGTCAATCTTGACTTAATGAAATAAAGCAAATTATCCAGATTTATAAAATATCCGTTCTCAACCTTGATTAAGATCTTGTGACTGTGGTCATTTTTGAACAGAAAACTCCTTCTTGGGTTGAAGAAGCCATTTTGAGATTTTATTTTTGTTGGAATATCCAGGTGGAGCAAGCCATCAGAACATTGATACCCAAAGTTTGAGTGCCGACCCCTTTGAGGTCCTTGATCAATCAGTATAGGGCCAAGATCGACTACAGAAATAAAACAAAAAAAATGTTTGTAATGTGCTTACAGATGTAAAAGCATAAGTTAATCAATATTGTTATAAATACTGCTTGTAATATTAAACCTATGGTTAACTGATTTTGTTGAAATGCTTTTACACTCAACCAATAGGGAGGAGTCCACTCTGGTAGAATTTGTGGGTCAAAAGCTGAAAATTTGGGAACCTCTGCATTAAAACATACAGTCATAAATGGATGTACACAATCAGTAATAACATTCACTACCAACTGAACATTTCTTAGGGATGCAAAATCAATTACTTCTCACACCATAACATCACCAGCAGCAACCTAGGTCATTTAATGCTTAATGGATCCATGGTTTACTCAAATCTACACCCTGTAATCTTGATGTTAGGGCTTCCACTTTTCATGCAGAGTATTACTATATGCCAGACACATAAAGAGGATATCAATGTTGTGACTGTGTGACTAACTATAACTTTCAATGTAGATTACTACATCCCCATCAGAACAGTGAGATGCTTCTCCATGAGCAAACAGTGTATCAACTAGGGCTGCAACTAACGATTATTTTAAAAATCGATGAATCGGCCAATTATTTTTTCAATTAATCGATGAATCGGGCAAAAAATATTTTTTATATTAACCTCTTTATTCCAAAATAAACATTCTAGACAGAACAAACAAGCACACAAGTACAGGTTGCTCATTAACTGTACTGGTGCAATATGAAAAATAAATGTTTGTGTTAAAACTACGCAAACTTACATGAGAAATGTAGCTGTACATCCACAAAATATAGGCTACTTTGTTTCATAAAGCGCAAAAAGAGACAGACATTTTTGTTTTTAAAAGCCTCTAAGGGGTTCAAACAATAGGTCCCCCCATTTCATCACATAATATTTTTTTAGACTAGAAGAGTTCTGCCTTTTAAGACAGGAAAGTATAGCAGTTAAAGTTGCTACTTGAGAAAATACTGAACCATAGAGATAAAAATAGCCCTGTGATTCAAATTATAAATTGTATTTGGAATAAAATGAGAGAACTAGGGGTGCTAAAAACACATCCTCCAAAGACAGATATTTACATGGGAATGTGGCATATAATTAATTGACATATTACTGATCTTGCAGGATTTTATTCTGCTTTACTTCCATAAATTGCAGGATCTTCTTTACTTTATCTTTGCCAGAAGATTTAAACTTTAAAAGCCTTGCCCTCATTAATTGCAAGTTAATTTATTTATAAAGGGTATTTTAATTATTGTGATCAATTTGCGCCGTCAATCCCGGCGCATGCGCGCTTCATTTGCAGTCTAGACGCTGAGGGTAAACATCCTGCTGGCTCTGACTGCAGCGCTGAGAGGGACTCCTGCGGGAGAACGGGGTTGGGATGGGGGAGGCGCCTCATGGCAGCAGCAGCTGCTGCAGGACAAGAGTAGGAACGATACATGCTTTCATGTAAGAGTCTCCAAAAGCCGCCAGTGACACCGTAAAAAGTCGCCAGATTTGTCGCTAGTCGCTTTTTTTAAAAAAATAGTCGCTGGAGGGGTCTGAAAAGTCGCTAAATATAGCGACAAAGTCGCTGAGTTGGCAACACTGCACACCTGCAGCGCTGACTCGCTCTGCTGTAATTTTTTTTTCTTCACCCGTTTCAGTCAAGTGGCAGTGATAACGGCGGCGGCGGATGACGCATTAATCGCGCGACACAACTAATCGATTATGAAATTCGTTGCCAGCGCTTTTAAAAGTCAATTTTTAGCGATTTTATCGATTCGTTGTTGCAGCCCTAGTATCAACAGTGAACTGAAGGAACGGCTAAACAAGAAAAAAAGAGTCTTCAGGAAGGGAGGCTGAATTACTATTTCCATCCATCCATTTTTCGTCCTCTGCCTTGCTGCAAAACAGAGGAGCTACCCACTGTGCCAATGTAAAGCCCTGTAGACTGTATCTTTAATTTAAATTTCTTAGCCAAAGGGAGAAACACTCAGTCTGGTCCTCTGTTGCTTTGGTCCAGTTGCTTCAAGGTTTGATGTATTATGCTTTCAGAGATAGCATAAGATCCAAGTCGGCTATAGCAACTGGATATTCACTTAAGTGCTTCCTTAGATCAGTCTTCCCATGCTTCTGACATCAAAAGGACATTTTCATCCTCTTAACTACTGGATGCTTGTTTTTTTTAGACCACTCTCTCTAAATCAGAGAGATTGCTCCTTGTGAAATTATTTATTTGAGATGCTCAGTGCAGAGAGTCTGGGAAAAACAACTATGGCTGAAAGTTCTATATTTGAATCACTTTTTATACCTATTATAAAGTCTTGTTTAGCATGTTGTCTTTGCAACATCTAGTTGCCTACTTGCAATGGGATAAGGCCTTGTGATTGGCTGGTTCTATATTAATTCTCAAAGCCATTGTAAAGTTGTACCTGCTAATGGGGCAGTAAAGTATTTATTATAGACACTTTGAACTAAGAACAATAGGGTTTTCTGGTTCTGCTTCATTCTATCTCTATTGTCCTACTCTGCAGAATCTGTTAGTTCAATCTTAAATGTTATGCTATCTCTGCTTTTCTCAGAGTAGCTTTGCCTCGTCTGTTCCTGTTTGGCTGTGACACCATCCTGGAGAGAAATATCAGCTGTACTGCTGCCATCAACACCTTTGTTTATAGATGTTTGAGATCGGCCTGTTTTTCAGTGTACCGTAGTCCTGTTTCTCTGACTGTGACTGGCTGGATGTGCTCTCTTCATCCTCTGACATGGGAGTTGGCTCAGAGCTCGTCTGCCTGGATGTGTGTTTCCTGGACAGGATCACCTTTTACAGTTGCTTTTTGTATCTCGGGTTCTTTTTCTATGTCTGCTTCTGTCTCCTTGAACCCCAGTGGGCCTCAGCAGATGGCCGCTCACACTGAGCCTGGTTCTGCTGGAGGTTTCTTCCTGTTCAAAGGGAGTTTTTCCTATCCACTGTCGCTACAAGCATGCTTAGTGTGAGGGATTGCCTTTGAGTCAATGAGTCGATGCAATCAACTGGTTTTTCTTAGACAGAAAACTTTGAATCAATTTTACTGTATTATCTGGTGAACTGTAAAATGCCTTGACATGACATGTGTTGTAAATTGGCGCTATAGAAATAAAATGAATTCAATTAAATTGAATTGAATTTTAATATAGCTGTTACCATCTTAGAGTTCTAAAGCATGTTTTCCTTTCTTGCTGTTATTTCTCTAACCACTGGTCAAAAACAAAAGCAATTGTTCCTTTAAAAAAAACCATCTCAATTAGCAACCGCATTTCATAAATTATGTAAAAGAAATCTCCTATTAAGCACCTTCAGCTAGAATTATCAGTTAAAATAAAAAATAAAACCTACAGTACCTGCTTGGTCAAATAGAAATACAATTCTTAACAGATTAATCAATTAGCAAAGTAAGACCTCATTAAAAAGACCTCTAGATACATCTCCACTTGAGGCAGAAGCCTGGAGAGGGCAAGCTGTACATAGCCTCAGACTTAGAGGAGCTATTAGCTTTGCCTAGTGCATAGTATAGGTTTTGGCTAAAGTGAGCCAGTACAACCATGTCATCCCCCAATAAGCTGAAAAAATCCACTTGTCCCCAAACTACTGGTAGATCTGTTCTGGGCCTATGCTGCACTTAAAAATCCCATCCAAGAACCGGACCTGTGAAAAAGGGCAGTTCTGTGGGGGTCTGGAATGCAATAGAAACAGGTCTGACTTTA